CGACAAGAAGAAATACGTGGAAGAACTAGCAACGACGGCAGAAAAAGCTGCTAGAGAAGGAAATATGAAACAGCTTTACGATACAACAAAGAAACTATCAGGGAAATACAGTAAAAGAGAGAGACCGGTCAAAGACAAAGAAGGCAAGCCAATCACCGAAATTCAACAACAGCAGAACAGATGGGTAGAATAATTCGAGGAACTCCTGAATAGGCCGGCTTCAATGAATCCACCGGACATCGAAGCGGCACACACAGATCTCCCCATAGACGTCAACCCACCAACGAAGGAAGAAATCAGAATGGCCGTCAGACAAATCAAGAACGGGAAAGCAGCGGGTCCGGACAACATACCAGCTGAAGCACTGAAGTCAGACATCGAAGAAACTACAAACATGCTTTACCTTCTATTCAAAAAGATTTTGGAGGAGGAACAAGTGCCGATGGACTGAAAAGAAGGGCACCTCGTCAAGATTCCAAAGAAAGGAGATCTGAGCAAATGTGAAAACTATAGAGGCATTACACTGCTGTCAATACCAGGGAAGGTCTTCAACAGTGTTGCTGAACCGGATGAAGGATGCAGTAGACGCCCAACTTCGAGATCAACAAGCTGGATTCCGTAAGGATCGACATGCACAGACCAAATTGCAACACTACGGATCATCGTCGAACAATCAGTTGAGTGGAACTCATCACTATACATCAACTTCATTGATTATGAAAAAGCATTCGACAGTGTAGATAGGAGGACATTATGGAAACTTCTTCGACACTACGGAGTTCCTGAGAAAATTGTCAACATTATCCGGAACTCATACGACGGACTACAGTGCAAAGTCGTGCATGGAGGACAGCTGACAGATGCATTCCAAGTAAGGACCGGAGTCAGACAAGGCTGTTTACTCTCTCCCTTCCTCTTCCTTCTGGTGGTCGACTGGATTATGAGGACCTCGACATCTGACGGAAAACACGGCATACAACGGACAGCTCAGAATCAATTAGACGATTTGGACTTCCCAGATGACCTAGCCCTCCTATTACGTACACACGAACAGATGCAGATGAAGACACCCAGTGTAGCAGCAGTCTCTGCATCAGTAGGCCTCAGCATACACAAAGGGAAAACCAAAGTCCTCAAACTCAAAGCGGAAAACAACAATCCAATCACTCTTGATGGCGAAACTCTGGAAAATGTAGAGTCCTTCACATACCTAGGAAGCATCATCGATGAACAAGGAGGTTCAGATGCAGACGTAAATGCAAGGATTTACAAAGCAAGGACAGCATTCCTACAGTTAAATAACATATGGAACTCAAAAAAACTTTCAACCAATATCAAAGTGAGAAACTTCAATACCAACGTCAAGGCAGTTCTACTGTATGGAGCTGAAACTTGGAGAACTACAACAACCACAATCAAGAAAGTACACGTATTTATAAATAGCTGTCTACGCAAGATACTCAACATCCATTGACCGGATACCATCAGCAATAGCCTTCTGTGGGAGAGAACAAACCAACTTCCAGCTGAAGAAAAGTTTAGGAAAAGACGATGGAAATGAATAGGACATACATTACGCAAATCGTCAAACTGCATCATGAGGCAAGCCCTAACTTGGAATCCTGAAGGGAAGCGAAAAAGAGGAAGGCCAAAGAACACATTGCGTCGGATAATAGAAGCATATATGAAAAGGATGAATTACAACTGGACGGAGCTAGAAAGGATTGCCCAGGATAGGGTTGGATGGAGAATGCTGGTGAGCGGCCTATGCTCCTTCACGAGGAGTAACAGGCGTAAGTAAGTAAGTATGATAGATACATTAAAAAGTTTAAAAGTAAACTACATTCGGCATACAAAATAAAATACTTTTTTTTAAGAGCTGGATTAAGATTATATCAATTGATTTATTTAACCTGGTAATGATATAAAAAAAATTCCCTAACACTTAGAATGCCTTGTTTACAAATTAACAGTGACACATATCATGTAACATTTCGTCTAAACTCATATTTGACTCACTTAAACAGTTCAACACAGTCAAATGACCAATTGAAAGGTAAACCTTAAAGGTAGACATAGTTTCACATGAAAACTAGGTTATAAATTCAATCTTTGTTTATCCTTTGTTTGTCTTTTTATCAATACACTTAATGCGAATAAGTTAGCAACAACAAAAAAAGTTGTTTTTTTTCAGTTCCAATGATTATCATTTTAAGACTAATAAATTAATAAATTAAATCAAGGGTATAATCGATATAAATCTCAGATCAATATATTTCAAAACTGTGTAAATATTACAATAAATTCAATTCCTTAAATCTATTTCATTTGATTAATTATGAATTATCATAGTATATATTAATATTGATGATGATTGATTAACTGATTGGACTCATATGTACTTTCATAAACAGCTTACAACTTATCATACATTCATTATAGTTCGATTTTTTTTTTCGATATTAAAATGTTAAATGAATGGATAATGTGGAAATGTTATTATTATTATATAAGTTGTGCTTAGACATCTTTACTTTGATCAAAAGTATTGTATTAAATAATGGGATTATTGTTTTTTAAAGAAAATACTATTTTTGATGTATTTTACGTAATAACAATATCATTTATCGACTTATTATAAAACAAAACCTCGAATACAACTTTGTTTTATATCTTCACTTAATTTGTAATTTACATAACTCAAGCGTAAATATACAACAGGAGTACAAAGATGAATCTTCAAAAATTAGATTTACAAAATGTAGAATGATGTTTAATAATTGTTGTTATTCCAATATAAAGTCATATATCTCACATAAAAAGAAATAGACTTATCCTTTGCATACTGTAACCTATATACAGCATGAATTATGACCAAATAAACGTTTCTTTGTAAGCAATGATGGATAGTGGCTAGCAGTGGAGACCAGGACGCAGATTTCATCCTATTTGAGATTCATCGGCTGGATGTACCTGCATCCCAGAGTTGATGTTCACCCTGGGACTCGAACTGAGTACCGTTCGCTTCAAACGCCATCGTTTTATCCACTTAGCTACTGAGTCCTGATAGCCACCTACTTTTGCAAAGGTTCTGAGTTTGAATTTCAGAGTGAACATTAACTCTGAGATGCAGGTGCATCCAGATGACGAATCCAAAATAGGACGAAACGCGTGTCCTGAATTCCACTGCTAGCCACTATCCATCATTGCTGACAAAAAGCTTGTGAATTAAGGTAATATCGAGGCATACGCACAGTATGCACATGTACCAACAAGAGACTGATCAATCGCAGTCTTAAACCTCAATGGGAAGATACAAGCCAAACAATACCAAGTGAAATAAACGTATCATTTTGTATTTCGATTATGAACTGATCAATGCTAGACCACCATTAAAAACCCGGAAACATTGGATGGCTATTTTGTGGTAGTATGAGACTCTTCGTCAGTGCGCATCCATGACCCCGCCCCAGTAAAACAATTTTTAGTAAAGACTAGTCAGTCGATTTAAACACTTTTTGTAACTAATGTGTGTGAAATACTACTTTATTTTCCTATATTTTTCAGTTATTTTCTTTTTAACTCTGGGTTTTTTTTCATCAAACCTCCAGTATGAATCTAAAACAATTGAGATTAAATAATGCCATGTATTTCCAGTTATTATAACCCGTTTTCTAAGAAAAGTAAGTTAATATATCTGAAATAAATCCTAAAACAATATAAAAATTATATTATTTTGTTAATAAGCTAACAGATTTCGAAATGCTTTGATTTGAATTTTAAAAAAGTAAATTTCCATTTACTGTTTTTAAAGATTAGGTAGCGTCTATTGTGGCACATTTTTCTGGACATGGTCAAGCCGATATAGCTTATTCTAGCCTCTGGTCAGATCAATATATTCATCTTTCTCAAGCCATATTTTTACTCTGTCACTCACTTATCAACCTTGACTGTTTTTATGTAAGCATGTGTGTGCATTTCTTATTTGACTCATCACATGTCTGTAACTTATTTTTGTCTGACTATAAATATCGAGTTATGCTTGGTTAAGACGAGTTAGCTCACATGCCTTCTCCACTGGGTATCATTTCGTTTCGGTTCGCTCTCTCCTCTTCGCTTCTTTTCTAAGATCATTTGTCTGAAGCAATGACTGTATTAAATTTACATATTCAAAATCCATTCTCGTATATGACTTATTTAATTCCGTTATTCACTAACGCGAGTTAAGTCGATAATTATATACGAGGGTAGCTATGATGTATATTTCGACATCAATCGTTCGATAACGATCATTTGTCCAATCTAACGGGAGTCAGATATAGGGCCATTAAAATTTAAACAACGTAAAACTATCTAATAATTCTGTAGAAATAGAACATTTACTAGTCCAGCCAACAATATCGCTTCATACCATATTCAACAACCACCAATTAAGGTATCAGATATATCCAGATATTTCTAAAACGGGTTTTTCTAATTGTAAAGGTAGATATGAAGCTAAAGTATTTCATATATCGTTAAATCTCGTTGCTCTTAAAAAATGTTTAATTAAGTAACCAACTTGGAAAATTCTCATCCTCACATTATGCCTGTTTAACAACATACTAGAAAAAAACACGTACAAATTAACTTATTCAATCACACAACAACTATCACATTTAATCCCACTCACCTACATGTAGATACATGAATTTATGCATTGAAATAGACTCGTCTATGATATAAACGACCTGATCAAACTTACCTTCATCTTCAAACCTTTTATGTTGATTAGTTCCGTTAACTAATTAAGCTTAAATAGAATAAACTATTTATTCTCTAAAGAATCAACTTAAACAAAGTCACGGAAATCGGATGTGATAACTATATTGGTACTTATTATTATTACACTTCAGTATTTTTCACTTTTACTGACCTGGAAATAGTTCATTTTAGATACAAATTTTATGCATTTATTAACATAGATATGAAATTCCATGTACAAATAAATGTAGACTTACTTTACCAGATTTAATTATGAAAAATGTTTCACCAAGTTCTCCTTCACGTATTATATATTCACCAGTTTCATAAAACACCTTTATTTACAAAACAAAAAAATGGAATTAATAATGAAATAAATGTAAGAGGAATTTAGTAAAGAGAAAAAATATGAAATCTATATTGAAAAGTTTTCTTTATAATATATACATTTATCAGGAAGGGTTTTGTGGAGATTGTAGTAATTTCAATAGTTGAGATCATGAGTTCAACTGGGTCAGTTGTGAGATAGTAATTCACTGATGACAATGGTGGATGTGTCGCTCAATCTCGTGGATTAGTTGAAGTTAGACATTAACACCGTTGGATAACGGCCGGTTCAGTGTTGACGCGCTCGAGCGCGGGGCTGATAGATCCTAGGTTCGAATCTCGCGGGGTGGGATCGTGGATGCGCATTGCTGATGAGTCCCACAATAGGACGAAACGGCCGTCCAGCGCTTCCAGGTTCTCTATGGTGATCTAGCTTCAAATGACTCGTGATTTCAACTATTGAGAATAAACGTATATATATATCACTTAAATTTTAAGAGTAGTTACATAATGAAGTATTTATCAATATAGATAAAGAACAACTGTTATATAATAAGTAGTGTCGTTTAAAAAGTATAATATTTTTTCAAATGGGACAGAATAGTAAATATTTTAAAGAAAATTCGATTTGATAAATATGCAGTTTGAGAAAAAAATTCCTTAATTTCTTCAAGTTGCCGTATTTATACTTTCATGAGATAATCGATTTTAGGATTTTTCTTTAAAAATAGGATAAAGAATTTGTATTACTATACCGTATAGCTTTACATAAAACGAAGCAAATACAAATTTTTTAAAACATTTTCATAAGACTACTAAATCTTGTTTCAATCTAAAGCATTATAGGATAATACAATATAAAATCTTCTAAAAGTATTTGATTTTCTACTTGAATATCATCACTAATAGAACAAAGATGGTTGAAATGGTAATACTAGAATGTTTATCAAATATCAATCATGCAACTGGTTCCGTTTATGAGTTTCATTAAAGGTAGAACAACAACTGAGGCTGCCGCACTTGTTATTCTGGCCTTATTCAAATATCGATTGGTTATTATAAATGAATAAATATTCGCCTTTTCAATGATTCAAATTTGTTCTAATCACAGAATACATTCAGAGATTATTGTTATTATTATTATCAAGTCATCTAGGTGTAATTCTTTAACACTTTTAATCATTGCTTACAACACCCTGACGGTATCTCAAAATACTGGTACTTTCTTCTGTACTGGCGAAAATGATTCTTTGTATGTAGATCATCAATCAGTGACCTATAATTTAATGTAACGCTCCGACTAAACAACTTGATATGGCACTTATACAATCCATTTTCTGTATCTGGAATAATATGCTTATGAACAAAAATAACTAGTAAAAGGCTTATAATTGACTAATGTATCTTCTGTTTTATAACATAAAGTGCATAATAACAAATAAGAACACCAATGATCCTTACTCGATCTGCGTATAATCCCTATTTAGTAGATATTAATATATGAGAAATATGGAATTTAGCACTAATAAAACAGAGCCTCTAACTGATAGCTTCGAAACAATTTAAAATCAAGTATAGTGGACCATGATGTTATGTTAGTCAGCTTAAATAATATCAAGAAAAGTAAATGACTAAATAATAAATTTAATTATGTTATAAATGATGAATTAAAATAGCATTTTTACATATTTCAGTCAGTCAGTCAGTCAGCTACAACGTAGGACCAGGCACATGTGTGCATCGGTCCAGGTTGCCATACCGCATCAGCACAACAAGATGAACACCGGATTCATAACAGTGGTTAGGCAAAAGGTGGTAATATATAAGAGAAAGATTGCATATAGAGATATAGTACAAGAAGAAAGAATTGGTTCGTAGAAAGAAAGATATGAAGCGATTTTAATCTCTTAGTTTAAGGGAAGACAGGGAGTGTATACACCGGCGCCATTGTGATTGATTCTGAGCCATGTCACCAAGAGTCTCCAACCATTGGTTACGATAGTCACGCGGACCCCAAACAAGTAGTCTGCATCTACCAACATGGTTCAGACTAGAAGTTAGTGACTTCAAGCACTGATGCCACGTTTTGGTTTGGCCGCCCCTAACTTTCTTCCAACCATTTCCAATACCGGATAGCATTGCACGCCGTGGTAATCGGTGTTCAGGCATACGTAACACGTGGCCCAACCATCTCAGTCGATGAAGATTCATAACCTCATCAACTGATTTACCATCATTTCCTAATACCCTGTGTCTAACCTCATTATTACTTACCCGGTTATCCCAGCAGACGCCAGCAATATTTCTAAGGCATCTGTGGTCGAATACTAATAGCTTACTAGTGTCTTCTACTCTTAATGGCCATGTTTCGCTGCCGTAAATTAAAACAGAACGAACTGCCGCGCAGTATACTCGTCCTTTTATTGATAGACAGATATCTCGCCTTCGCCACAGGTGACGTAAGTTGGCAAAAGCCAAACGAGCTTTTCGAATCCGTGCTGAGATTTCGTCCGATACCAACCCATTAGGGCTGATCAGACTTCCAAGATAAGTGAAGTTGTCAACGCGTTCGACTACTTCACTCCATTTCCTTAGTTCAGGTGTTAACGCAGACCAGTCCTGAAGCAACAACTTGCATTTAGAGGGAGAGAAGCGCATTCCAAACATCCTGGCATTGTTGCTCAGTGCTACCAGAGGACACTGTATTTTGTCAGCGTCTTCACCAAACAGGACTATGTCATCTGCGTATTCTAAGTCGATAAGTGGACCTCCTGGAAGGAGATCAATACCCGAGAACTCAGTCGACGAGAAAGTTATTTCCATCAGTAGATCTATGATGAAGTTAAACAGAAATGGAGAAAGTGGACAGCCTTGACGGACACCACTTGAGGTTGCAAAACTAGATGACAGTTCGCCATAAGCTCTGACTCGACTAGTAGTGTTCGAGTAAAGAGCCTTTACAAGGTTTATGTACTTCTGGGGTACGCCTTTCAATGACAGACACTGCCACAGAATCTCGCGGTCTACAGAGTCAAATGCTGCTTTTAAGTCAAGAAAGACCACCATCGTTGGACGCCGATAAGTATGCCTGTGTTCTAGAACCTGACGAATGGTGAATATGTGGTCGATGCAGCCATGACCAGGTCTGAAGCCAGCTTGGTTTTCTCGTGTTTGCAGTTCACAAGTCTTAGTTAGGCGTCTGATTATTATTGAGGCTAATATTTTAGATACTATATTTGTTAAACTAATCCCTCTGTGGTTGTCACAGGATGATTTTGACCCTTTCTTATATATTGAGACGATAAGTGATTGTGACCAGTCAGATGGAATAACGTCTAACTCCCAGATCTTAGCTAAAATATTAGTCAACCTAATCGCTAAAATTGGACCACCATCCTTAAAGACTTCTGGAGCCAGTCCATCTGGACCAGCTGCCCTTCCTCGTTTCAGATTATCTATAGCCTTTTGAACTTCAGCAAGAGTTGGGGGAACTACTTCAATGTTCCATTCACGCTGTCTGGGAATGGAGGGTAGTTGTAGACTAGCTGAAGGCCAGCTGAACTGTTCTCTGAAATGTTCCGCCCATCGTTCTAAACGTCTGGACTGGGAGCAGATGAGAGTATCGTCCTTTTCCGAAATAATCTCACTTACACTTGACTTATTAATTCCAGTTTCTTTTATTAGTCTGTAAAACTGTCTTGTGTTCCCTATAGTCGCTGCCTTTTCCATCTCTTCTGCTTTCGTTGCCCACCACTGCTCACGGTCGTTTCTTAGACTTTTTCTTAACCTAGATCTGATTTGTTGTCGCTCTTCATCATGTTCGGAACCTGATGGGACAAGTTTGCGAGAATCCATCAGTGTGATAGACTTTGAAGAAATCCACTGGTTCTTTGAAACTCTGTGGTTTAAGTTGTTAATAGATGTCACTGCTGCTTCCATAGCTGATTGTATGTCTTTCCAAGCTACATCTGGGTCAGCCTCGTCTTCAGAACTACCTGAGTGTGAACTCAGTTGTTCTTGGAACCTATTTTTGGTTTTCTAGTTACTCAATTCAGCTCTAATGGGTCTTTTTAGTGCTTTTTTATGCATCCAGTGAGGCGCAAGCAAATGCGTGCCCATATTGGGGCATGGTCGAAGTCCAAGTAGGTACACCAGAATGAGCGACAATCTTGTACAGACCCTCTTCAACGATGACTGATGGCAATATGGTCTATTTGAGTCAATCGTTGGTTTGGTGTAGGGGGTCGCCATGTTAGACGATGTCTCTCCTTATGCTTAAAATTTATGTTTGCTAAAAATAAACGATTGTCTGAGCATGGTTGTAGCAGACGATCACCATTATCTGTTCGCTGTATCGAAATACTAAAATATCCACCTAAATGCCTTTCTGTTTGGTTTAAGCTACCTATCTGAGCATTAAAGTCACCCCCTACGAGTACTATGTCTGTGCGTCTAGCTTTCTGAAGAAGTTCGGACAGCTTTCTGTAAAATTCATCTTTCACATCATCTGAGCTGCAGTCGGTGGGAGCGTAGGTAGAAACGACGAAAAGGCAACGACGTATGTCCCTATCTTTGCGAGTTCTTACGTAGCCGTTTAGCCAAACAGCACATAGACGACTGTTGACTGGGATCCACTCTAGCAGTCCTTGTTCGGCCCTCATGCTTAGTGCTATGCCTACACTTGCCAGTCCACGGGAACTGGCCATCGGGTCACAAGAAACACGGAGGGTGTATCTCGTTAGCTCTCCTTTTTGCCGAGGTGAGGTCAAGTGAATGACCACACTGGAATCCTGTATGCGTGTTTCGGAGACACAGCATACATCAATGGAAAGAGACTCTAGGGTTTTAGCCAAGGAAGCCTGCTGACCGATTTGACATAGAGTGCGTACGTTGAAAGCTCCAATGTGTAGTTTGGATCGAGGTTTCAGTAGACCTGGGACAGAGTTTTGAGCACTAGAATCGTTGGCTATGGTGACACTTGAGGAAGAAGCCGAAGGAGGAAGTTTAGGGTTGACAGTCGATGTAGGTGGAATAATAGGAATTGAAGAGGAAGGTTGATTATGAATACAGTGGTCTTGGGTGCTGTTAGAGGTATGAGGGCGGTTATCACTTCCCGGTTGCCCACACCGTGGAAGGGTTCTTCTGGAGGTACCTTTAGATTGGAATGTTATTTAATTGATGTAAAATAAAGCATAGTGGTTAGTAATTATGGCAATAATAACTAGTATTATCAATATTATCACTAACGTTATAATTTAAACTTACTGGTTCTAATACGTCAGCCAGCTTTTTCATCTTCTCTGAGGATAGATCCTTCAATGCAGGGACACTATATTAATGAAGGAAAAGCGTTAGCCAAAGTAAATAAGCAAATTTGATGAACTGAACTAAAACAAGTTCGAAATTACTTTGAATATGCAGTAGAAAATTAATTTGTACTCATTTCTATATAAAACGTAGAATATACACTGTTACTGGTTTATTGGTAACTTTCAATACAAATTAATATTGACTTAATAATCCAACAACAAAAAACATATATGACACACACTATGACATTTTCATTGTTCCTTACAAAACAGAATATTAAAATATTATGGTCACTTTTAGTGTGGCTTAGTTCTCAATTATATAATCAGAGCTAGGTAAGATACACTATAAACTTGATTTGCGAAAGATATTCTTTGTTCATATATCAATGTTTTAATCTAATGGGTATTTTTTTGTTATAATCAACATAGAAAAATCAAAATCTTAACATGAAATATTTAAAAGATTATTAGATTCGTCTTGGTTTCATCTTTCATTGAAGTTTTTCAAAATATTTTTAAGTAAATACATGGGTGGTGAATATCTGTTTGTCTGTTGAGTTTTTTTTCAATATTAAATAGAATTTTTCAACTAAATACAATGAGAAAACATGTTAGAAATATTAATATAATAATTGCTAAAAGTACACACCTTCATCTCCTGTTGTTATCTAAACCTGTCGAAAAATGTTTTCTTGTTAGGTTAAATTACATCATTAATCTAATAGTGAATAGGGGAGGTCTGTCAATTATAGGTCTATCATAAATCATAATCTAATGTATAAAATGACATGTATATTTGATTAGTCAGTGCAGTTGTTCACCACTGTAGGTCAATACAAACAATTATCACGTTCATTGAAATATTCACCACCCTAGTTTAATAGTTTTTTTAAAAATAAAATTCAACCCTTTTATTTAGGATAAGTAGATTTTATTTGATGTTACTGAGTTATTTGTCACTTAAGAAACTTTTGAAGAACATGGTAATCTGATCTTTTCAGTAGTAGAAACTGTTCAAGTTTAGTGTTATCGCACTGTGTTTGTCTATTGTTTTCTACACTTATACTATACAGCTGACGAGAACCAACGAAATAAAATGAATTCATGCTAGAATCTTTATTCTTGCTCTTCCCAAAAGTATGAGTTCTAGCAACATCGGATAGTATTAGCTTATTTGAGACTGAACATACTGAATATTTTAATAGTTGAATTCATGAGTCGATATAGTCAAGACCAACATGGAAAACCTGGAAGCACTGGATGGTTGTCTTGTCCTAATATGGAACTTCTTATCAGTGCACATCAATGATCCCGCACGCGGCACTCGAAACCCAGGAACTTCAGTCTCGTGTGTGAACACTTAACCTCTACACCACTGAGCTATCTAACTTCAATCGATCCATGATCTTGCATAACCCTTCACCGATCGTCTGAAGTGGATAACTGTCTCCATCCGACACAGATTAGATAATTTTTAATATTATAAAATGAAAAGTCAACAATCGTTTGCCTTTGCAGAAATCATAATTAATTTATATTAACACATTATTTTAAATATGTCCAATATATACACATTACTGGTGTATAAGTTCACTGTCTAAAAAATTATAGGAAATTTTATAATTAGTAATTATAATTATTCTAAATTAGTTACTGAACTATGTATTCAAACTATCTAGTGCACTGATTTTAATGTTTTTACAAATTCAATCGGAAAACCCCTTTAATCCTTAAGTGGTCTTGATCATTTTTGTTAAACAAATAATCTATCCTGGGTTTGTCACATACATACTAATATAAGTAATGTATGAACATTAAAATGTCCAAAATCTTTTATTACTATTCATTGTAGGGATGGTATATACATTACGAAAATTATCAAACAGCATCACGAGTCAATCCCTAACTTGGAATCCTGAAGGGAAAAGTAAAAGAGAATAACCAAGGAATATAATGAGTCAAGAGTTGGATATCGACATCAAAAGAATGACTAGCAACTAGAAACAACTGGAATGGATTTCCCAGGACAGAGTTAAATGGATAATGCTGTTGGGCGGTCTATGTTACTCCACAAGAGGTAACAGACGTAAGTAATTAAGTACTGTAGAGATTTTAATCATCTATAACTGTACGAAGTAGAATAAACCAAAACGATCATTTCTCATATAAAGAATAACATTAAGTCACAGTGAATCAGCTAAGGTCTCCTCAAACACTCATTTAACTAAAAAATAAAGTGTTTTTCCCTAAAATTATTTAGTTTAATAACTAGACAACATATAAATAGTAGAATAAATAATATTTGTTACATTTAATCAGATAAAAATAATTTATTCCCATAACGTCCACAATATTTTTAATAATAATAATAATAATAATAATAATAATAATAATTTGGGTGTCACTACCAAGTTTCAAATGTTTTCAAAAAAAAGAACTCTTACTAGTATAAATTCAAAATAGTCTAGTTGAATAGATTTCATTTTCCATGATTATTTTTAACCAAATGACTTATGTGGTGCATATATATATTCGATGCCCCTTTGTAACAATATTTATATGTTCAAATAAATAATCAAATAAAGTTTTAAACGAACACCTCTCTTCATTGAATTATCCTTCATACCTTATACTGTTTGAATTATTTTTTCTGGTTAGTGTATTTTTTAGCGAGTTAGTTTTCTACGGGATGGGGTCGCTAACCCGATGTCCAACCCTCCTCCTTTACCCGGGCTTGGGACCGACAGTAACTCTAGAAGAGCTACAGGCGGAGTAACAGGCGTAAATAAGTAAGTACCTTATATTCCAAGATGAAATAAAATGAAAATTTTCTTTTAAAAATAATGTACTTTATTTCTACAAGTGAAATGAATATTTTACTATATTATTTTCTTGTTAGACATTAATTCAATTGGAAGGCAGCTATTTACTTAGTTAAAAGAACTGGATCGAAGGGGGGTCGAATCAATATTTTCTTCCCTGCTGAGGCATTGGCAATCCATGAACTAAAGCCTGGACTTTGCGTGCAGTAACGATTTGTCCAACCTCTCATTCTTCCTTGGCCTTAATTCCTTTAATGGGTATGTTTCGGGGTTGTTTTTTTTCTGCTTGTTTTTCTGCACTTTTATTTGATTGTTATTGAACTTTATAAATTACTGTTTTACATTTTAAACTCTAATCAGTTATTATTATTATTGTTACCTTATACACGTTTTGTTGACTACTATTCAGTCTATTAATATGACCTTTTTGTGTTTGTCGTTTTTTCTTCATATCTGTCAATTGGACTATTTATCTAACCTATAAATTATTTTCTTCCTTACCCCTTGATTAGTACATAACCTCATTTGTTATTTATACTCGAATCCATTTTTTGGTGATACAATCCTTTCTATCCTTCTATAGACATATATTTTCCATATATAACTACATAGATACGAATGTACACCTTAAGTAAATGATTTTATCGAAAAGAAAATTTTCTTCGTTGAATTCCCTTTTTCTTATTCAATGAAAAAAATGTTCATTTGGAAAAAATTTCAAATTAATTTTCTATGTATGAAAAAACAAAACGTTGGTTTTTTATTTCTGATGAAATTCGCTCTTGAAAGTTGAACTAGTTTCAAGAAATTTTAAATTATTATGAAATTTTTTATTTCACAGATTGAAATCATGAGTCAGTTGAAGCTAGACCACCATTGAAAACCTGGAAGCACTGGACGCTTGTTTCGTCCTAGTATGGGACTCCTTAGCAGTGCGCATCCACGATCCCGCACCATGCGGGGCTCGAACCCAGGACTTACTGGCCTCGCGCGCGAGAACTTAACCAAGGATCTTGTAAACAGTGTAGAAATTTGATGGGTACCTGTGATATTTTGTCTAGTTTGCGATTTATCTATTTGAATACATAAATATTGGTACAAAGGGGCACCGAATACATATGCACCACATAAATCATTCGATTTGTATGAGGTCTAGGATATTGTCCGGGTGCCCAAACAGAAGCAGATGGTTTTCTTAGGGGGTCACACTCGGATCCTTCGACCTAAAGGTTTCATGCACAAGGTAGTGGAGCAACCTCAGGAAATGCAGTCACATGGTAGCCGGTGACCAACAGTAGCTTCATACGCCATTTGTTCCTTCATGATAATGGAGTCCATGTGCACCATTGGTTTGGAATGAGAGTTTTCCAAGGTTCCTAGTCGGACCCTCCATATCCACCAACCCGGTTAAAGCACCAAACGTTCACTTTTCGTTCTCTCAATTTCGTAAACAATACTTCTTGAGTGAGAAGGCAGTGAGTAGGACTTCCCTGTCAATATCTGTATACTCGTGGCCATGTGAGATCATTTCGAGCGGGGTGAACTAACTATCTCCACCCTCGACGATACCAGGGCATTTGGGAGCGAATACAAATCTTACATTTCTGGAAATCAAAATAGAGAGTCGTGAATATTACAAATTGTTCTGTGAAACTCTGAGTCTCAACCACATGTATTAAAATCATGTACATGTTTTAAAGAATTTTTGAAAAGAGTTGAACTAAAAGCTTCTAATACTTATGAATTTTTAATATTATTTCTACTGATATCACTGATATAACAAACCTTCAGATTATTCTTGCATGGAAATTACCTACATTAGGTATTCACACACATAAATTGTAAACGAATAGTAAATATTATTATGATTATATATATATATATATATATATATATGTTTTTACAAGCTTGTACTTTCTTGTTCTTTATTGACAGCTTATTCAAACATTTAGTATTCCCATAAATGTTATACTATGTACAAACCAATTTATTTATTGCTGTTTCTAAATCTAGATTATTTTGTTCCAAACTAAATCTAATCTTCCATATTTGTTAATATATATATATATATATATATATATATATATATATATTAATTGACATAAGTCATATGCATTCTTAGTTTGATCAATACCGTCTTCTTATTGTACAAAATGAACAAATTCATATAATTGACTTATATCAATTTTAATGAA